CCGATGTATTGACTGCACTGGACTGGACGCAAGTGAGACTTTTGCCTGTTAATCTGAAGGCCCAGGTTTTCCAATAACGACAGAGTCTCTACGACGTTTAAAGCATAGGTATTGGCAGTGGAAGGGGTGTATAAAGTGATGTGGAAATACGTGTCTTGGAGGTCGAGAGTGGCCATCCAGATGTGCCTGCGCAGGAGTGGCATAATCTATTGCAGTGAGACCATGCGGAAGCGGTGGTATACTACGAAGCGGTTCAACTCCCTTAGGTCTAATATGGGTCGAACGCCTCCGTCCCTCTTCGGCACCGTGAAGTATCAGGAGTAAAATCCCGTCCCCTGGAGGTGTGATGGTACGTGTTCGATGGCTCCCTTCTGCAGAAGGACGGACACCTCCTGGAGGAGAGGTGGGGAAGGGGGTGTGGAGACGACGACTGGTGTATTGGGGTTCTGGATGAATTCGATCTTGTAACCTCGGGTCAAGATGGCAAGCACCCACTCATCCGAGGTGATGTGACGCCAGGTGATAGATGGATAATTGCTGACTCGGTGATAGGGAAGTCAAAAACTCTGTTTGGGTGGTTTTGACTGTTTGCGTGAAGCCTGTTGGCCTGAACCAAATTTCGGTTTTTGGAAGGTGGGTTTCTGGCCTCTGGAAGATGATCTTGGTCTCCAACGTGTGTCAGGAGACTGATGTGTAGGAGTACGTCTCTGCCAAGATCTTGACCAAGTACGATGGCGATACTGTTATTTTCCAGAGGATGAAACTCCTAGAGCCCTGGATGCTTTTATACTTTTGTCTAGCTCTTGAAGAGCATTATCGGTTGTGGCGTGAAACAACCCAAGGCCATCAAAGGGTAGGTTCTCCACGTAGGACCTGGTGTCTATTGGAAGGTTAGTACTTCTGAGCCAGGAATGACTCCTGAGAGCTACTGTAGGGGTGGAATGTGTCTTCCTGTATTTTGAGGATGAAGTAATGACCATGGAGTTAGGTTGAGGATGAGAAAGGAGAAATTCTGCTTCTGTGTCCTGTACCCTATACATGTGGTCCAACTTTCTTGTGGACACAGGAGCTGAAGAGGGTTTTGACCATGGTGACTTTGCTGCCTGGAGGAGAACTGAAGACATAGGTAATGCCAGGGTGGAAGAGACATCGAGCTGAACGATATCGTAGACTGTGTCTGACGTCTGATGCTGTTGCTGGACAACAGAGAGACCCAGGGAATGAGCCATTCTTTTCATCAGATCTGTATAAGATGTCAGGTTATCTGAAGGAGATATAGGTAAGTCCTCAGAAATATCTGGGTTTGGAGACTTATGGTCGGGAGAAGTGTGAACTTCAGAAGCCTCCGTATCTGAGTCCTCCTGGAGGGAGTCAGAACAATCTTGGCCCATCTGGTCCTGTGGACAAGTGACTTGTTCAGGCTGGACAACAGGAACGACCAGGTCTGAGACGACAGGGTTTGTGTTGACAGGAGGGAGTAGTGGACGACTTGGCTCCGAAGCATGGTGGGCGGATCGACTATAGGCGGACGTAACAGGGAAGCCGAAGGTTTTGACCTGTATGGAGATCTTGACCAATGAACTGATTGGGTAGAATAGCGGTCCCAATTGGAATAATCAGCAGACGTTAACCACGGTAGGGATGGTGGATATGCCCCATAAAGGTAACGCAGCTGACGCTGATCCCATGACATCGAAGGTGGAGGGGGTATAAAGACTCTTGGTGATCGACTTCTGGACCGTGGACATCTGGGAGAGCAAGCGGCCGCTTGTCTGCGAGACAGGTCTCTGTACTCTCTAGCGTCGATCTCGACCGTATGAGCGCGGAGAGATAGAGGATGATGGTGCTTGCCAGAAATCATGTATCGATGTCGAGGTAGTTCGACGTCGGGAGCTTCAGACACCGACGACGTCGACGACGGAGATGGAGGCGGGGAATGCTCTGCACCCATCTGGTGACTTAGGAGCTCCACCGTTTCGAAATCGGAGTAAGGAGGCTCCGTCTGATGGATGGGGGAATCCAGGAACTGGATGGTCGGTATCGGTGGAGGAGCTTGGGTCTCCGATATCGATACCACCATTGGAGTGGGAGGCACTACTGGGGCGTTATTCAGTGTAGGCACCGCTTCTTTCCCCTTCTTCGCCGCCTTAAGGGGCTTGGAGGAGCCCTTATTAGTGGAGTTGTTCTCCACACTTGCCTTAGCCTTCTTTTTTACCGGCGTGGAGGCTGAGGATCGTGCCTTCGACGTCGGGTGTTTCGGTGTTTGACGGTCGACATTGGAGGCAGGTCTCGGTGTCGGAGCTGTCGACGTGGACAACCTCTCTTCCACGGCTGAGGCCAGGGCGAGAGCTGATTCCAGGAGAGCGACCTTAAGGTGCACAGCACGTTTTTTTCTCGTTTGGTTCGAGAAACGAGCACAAGCACAACAGGATTCAGGTTTATGTGACTCCCAAAGACAAAAAATACAAAGGGTATGCCTGTCGGGAGGGGCAAGCTTGGCTCCGCAACGCTGACACCTATTAAAAAATCCCCACTTCTTCTCCATAAGAAGTGGTACGGAGATAAACGGTTGAAAGGGGGGGTGGGGTGGCCCGAAGGCCTGAGGTAAATTCCCCTAAATAAAGTTCTTTTTTTTTTTTAAGGATTTTTGAAGAATGAAGAACAAATTAAGCAAAAGAATAAAGAACTGTTGAAGAGCTGAGTGGTTTTGGAAGAAGCTATTCAGCGAACCGATCAGACCGTTGGAGAAAGAGGTCTTTCCAACGCGGCGGTAAGATAAGGAACTGGCGGGATGTCCGCGCCCACCCCTCTGGGCATGCGCGGTGGGGTTCCTGCGCATGCCTGGAGGGACTGGGCACGAAAATCCGTTAAAAGAGCTTGCTACAGCACCTATCGATCCAGCCTGTGTGCACTAGATCCCCATGGGTGTGAAGCACAGAGACCACATCGAAGATAATTAGACTACACAGTTCTGAGACATATGGAGACTTTTAAAGCAGATATTAGAATGTATATTTCAGTTGGCCATGATGTGTTAAGTAAAAAGTGGTAACACAAATAACAACAATCATCATTAAACTGCTGAAAGAAACATTAAATCCAAAATTAGAAAATTCTTCCTACAGTTGCCTAGTGAAATATATGTTGGTGCATTTTCAGAGATTAATAAATTAACCTATACATAAATGGACAAAAAAGTCTTGCATATTTTTCCAGTAACATTTGGAACCCCTATATAGGATGATGGAACAAAAGATTTTCTGATTCACAAAGTGTGACTCCTGCATGAAAGAAGTGTGTGGGCACAGATCAGTCTCCACAACCTTCTTTTTCTCAACCTTGAACTTCCTCTGGGAAAGTAAGCTATACAACTAACTTAACTTTCATGTCTCTTGTGAGGATTGTGGAGATAACATCTAAAAGTTAAAATTTTTATATAAGCCAAAATACAAATATCACTATTAACATTAATTTCACCTGAGCACTGTCTGATACAGTTGCCTGTTTTTTACTATTAGCTAGAAAATGACTATAGTTTCAACCCTGTGAGGCAATCTATATGCTAGTTTTTGTATGCCATTTGGGAGGGAAGCCAACTTTAAGTGTTTTTCCCATGAGCTCTGGAGCATGCGGGAGGGTGGCTAGCACAGCTTGTTTAGCAGTGAGTCCTTAAATCTTCTTAAATACGAGAATTACTGCTTTTTCCCATTGGCCCCTTGGGTTAAAAGGGGGGAAAGTTTTGATCTGTGAATGACATGTGTTAAAAAAAAATGTTATGTATGAATGGTTCCAAAACTGTTTTCACTTAAAATTTTCTGTTTCCTGTATCTGCCAAGAAATAAAACAAACAAAAATGAACAAAAGCAAAAGACCTAAAACTTCTCTTGGCAGAGACATTAACTTTTTAAAAAATGACTTATTACTGTGCTGTAAAAAGCAGAACCTGGAGCTGCGGTGGCTCAAGTGGTTAAGACGCTGAACTGCAGGCTGTGGAAGGTCTGTAGTTCAGCGGTTCAAGACCCGGGTGCCGCAAGACAGGGTGAGCTCCTGTCTCTAGTTCCAGCTCCTGCCAACCTAGCAGTTCGAAAGCAAGAAATTGCAAGTAGATAAATAGGGACCACTTCGGTGGGAAGGTAACAGCGTTCCGCGCGCCTTGGTGTTTAGTCATGCCAGCCACATGACCACGGAAACGTCTTCGGACAGCGCTGGCTCTTCGGCTTTGAAACGGAGATGAGCACCGCAACCCTAGAGTCGGATTCGACTGGCTTTCGAGCAAGGGAACCTTTACCTTTACCTTAAAAAGCAGAACATTCACAACCAGCATGTTCTAGATTAAAAGGCTCTCTTTAGCATATTATGAAAAATGTTGTGTGTTAATACAGGGTCAGTTAATCAAACTGCTGGTGAGTTGCTCCCAAATATCTCCAATTGAAATGTCTGCTCAAGTGAGTTTCTTAAGGCATCTTTATAATGATTTCAGTGCCCTTAAACCAGCCTTACAAATAATCCCCAGCTCTGACCCCCAGAGAACGTATACTAACTGAAAGTCACTTGTGATACACTGGCAGCCAAGAGAAAAATAAAACCATTTTCTTCCAGGTAACCAATGTCCAGAAGCAATCTGGTTGTCTGGTTGTCCAGAAGCAATTTTCACTCACCCGAGCAGAAAGGCTATTTGGAAGCCTGAAATTAAGCTATTACCTATTAATATAAACAATTATAATGTCAGACATAGACTAGAGTAACGTGGGTTCAAATCTCCAACTAAACCGTGAAAGTTCCCTGGGTGACGTTGAACCCATTTCTCAGCTTAACTTACCCTCACAAGGTTGTTGTGAGTAGAAGGGGAGGCACAGTATATCACTCGGAGCTTCTTAGAGGAAAGGCAGTATAAAAATCTCCCCAAAATATAATTAGCAAGATTGATTTTGCTGGTTCATATTACAACAAAACAATAAATTAGGTTTGGGTTATGTTTTGTTTTTTAAATCAGAACTCACTTGTTTGTTGTGAACTGGATTTGTTGCACTTGAAGGACTGGATTGAGACAAAGCTACACTGCTATTTTTTCCAATCTGCAAGAAAGAAACAATATTTAGAGACGCAGGGTATCAAAACAGGAAATCTATCCTATAAGCAAGATAAAGCTTATTTTAGTCTTAAGGTCTCCTAAATTGAGCAATTGTTTTGACCGTATCAATTATGTCTATTTTGTGTCTGTAAAGTTGCAGTCAAGTTGCAGCTGTCTTATGGCGAACCTGAAGTGTTTTCAAGACAAGAGACATTCAGAGGTGGTTTGCCGTTTCCTGCCTCTCCATAGCAACCCTAGACTTCCTTGGTGGTCCCTAATCCAAGTACCAACCAAGGGCTGACCCTGCTTAGCTTCTGAGATTTGAAAAGATCAGATTAGATCAATTATTCTCATTTAGAAATTTCAGGAAAATCTTACTGTATGGCTTTAAAATGGGGTTATATAGAGTCATGGAGAAGAGGTCCATCATGGTTAATAACAGGAACGTCCATACTGAGAGGCCAGGAGGTGGTATCAGGAGAAGGGCCTTGACCTCTGTGTCCTGTTAGTTGGTCCTCCAGGGCAACTGGTTGACAGCTGTCTGAAACAGGATGTTGTACTAGATGGACCTCTGTTCTGATCCAGTAGAGCTCTTCTTATTTTCAACAGTATATTGTGATGACCTCAATCTCACAAGATTCCTAGTTCAAATATCCCTTTGGCTGTGAAGTTACATCCAGCTCTCAATTTGTAACATGCATATGATAGTACTGGACTTCCATACAGATTACTGCATGGACAGAGATTAAAGTAATTTGATTATTTAAAAAAAATGCACAAAAGTATACTTATACTTATTTACAAAAACCTATATTGCCTTCAAACAGGGACTTTCCACATAACATCATTCTGTAATGTAGGGTTGCCAGGTCCATTCTAGAAACTGGAGGGGGATGGGGGGGACCTACCAGGAGCAGCAGGGAGGCCCAGCTAATGTGCAGCAATGTTCCTACGTCACTACCTGTGTGACCTGGAAGTAATGTTGGGGATGTTGGGGTGACACTCTGGTATTCGGGCAAAAACTCTATAGTAAATTTGGCTTGTACCACAGAGTTTTTGCCCAAATACCAGTGTCGACCCAATGGCCTGACATGGTGACATCACTTCCAGGTCACATGGGCAGTGATGTAGGCATGCTGCATGTTGGCTGGATCTCCCTCTTTTGGGGGGTAAGTTACCCCTGCTGGCCAGCTGATCAGTGGTGGGGTGGTAGGGCCTGGCGGCAGGAGACCCCCACCTCCATCAAGGGGTGGTGGTGTCTGGCAACCCTACTGCAATGGTTGAACAACCCATTTCTCCCTTGAAGATATAGTAACACCTTGTCATATAGAGATCATACTTGTTTTAGAAGATAGCTTGGGTTAGGGTTTCGAAACACAAGGGAAGACTTGGAAGCTTGCAGTCTTAATCAAATCATTCTTAAGAATCAAGAATGTAAATAACAAAGGCTTGTATATGTAAAGAAAGTATGCTATTTTCCTCTTGTGAAATCATCCCCTTCCTCTTGAGGGAAACCCTAAAGGCACACTGTTACCCACTGGGAAATTCAGAAGGACCCACAGACACAAAATTAATTTGCTTGGTATAAGAAGCAGAGAACCTTGCTCAGCATAAACGTATGTAAACCTCTCAAGCTAAATGACTCTCAGGAAAAATAAGTGAACATAAACATAAGAACATAAGAGACGCCAATGTTGGATCAGGCCAAAGGCCCATCCAGTCCAACACTCTGTATCACACAGTGGCCAGAAATACCAGTGACATCAGGAGGTCCACCAGTAGGGCCAGGACATTAGAAGCCCTCCCACTGTTGACCCCCCCAAGCACCAAGTGGACATAAACAATGCCTCATTGAACACAATACCTAGGTTGGGATGCTTTTATGGGGCTTGGGAGTGGTGATATTGCAGACACTGCTGTGGTCCTGATCCCATGTCAGGCTATGTCCAGAAGCAGAATGCTTACAATTATTATGGAGAACTAGTACAGTGAAGTAGATTGATTGGACTAGCAAGAGTGTTTCAAATCTCTGTTAAGAAATTAAGGTCTCAGGTCAATTTTCAGTCAGCCACTACCTTACAGGGAAGTTCTGAAAATAAAAATAGGAGAACCACCCTGTATACCACCCTGAGTTCACAGGAGGAAGGAAGAGATAAAACTCAGTATGAAATAAAGATTAACCTAAATTAAGGCTCATATACTTTCTTTCCTTCACAGTGAGCATGGTTTCTTCATGCCACAGCAGTGAAAAATGTGAGATGTTGTCTCCAGATCAACCACTGACTTAATGTTCATTTCTGTCAAACACATACCCCTCTCCCTCTTCAGTCATTTCACCTTTTTAAAAATCTGCTGTTTTTACATTTGCCTGCTTAGAAATGTATTTGCTGCCTTATTTTATTTATCAACATTTTTTTTTCCAGTAGAAAAATCGCATGAAGAAAAGTAAAAGGCAGATCCATGGTTACATGAAGACAAGCCAAACAGTGCTATGCACAGCTATTTTTTGCTACAATCTGTCACAGCAGGTTTCCTCTGAGCTCGAAGAGAAACACTGTATGTTTGAATAAAATGCAGCTAGTATGACTCCATAGCAGCTCCAGCACTCAAATTATGTTTGTCAGTAGGGGTGTACCAAAAAAAAAAAAAAATTCGGCCTGATTCGGATTCGGCCGAATCGGGCAGAATCAATTTCTGCGGGCAGAAAGACTCCTGCATGTCAATTTTGGCAGTAGGAGGATTCCAGAGTCTTTCAGCCAGCCCAATGTCAATTTCGGCCCCATTATATCTTATGGGTCATTGAAGTCAATGGCAAAAACATAGGGTATATTCTGGGGGCTGGAGGGGAGGGGGTTTGAGGGAGAGGCTCCAAACTCACAGGGTAGCTGCTGGAGCCTCTCTCCATGTTACCCACCAAATTTCAAGAACATTGGACCAGGGGGTCCAATTCTATGGGCCCCCAAACAGGTTGTCCCTATCCCCTCCATTGTTCTCTATGGTGGGGAAAAAGTTGGGGCTGAATGGGGCTGAATTGCTGCCGAAATTCGGCGGCAAGCCAATTCAAATCTGAGAATCTGAATCGGCCCACGGCAGCCCGAAAGGGCCCCAAATGGGCCTTTTTCGGGGGTGCATTCGGTTCAGACGAACCGAATGCACATCCCTATTTGTCAGTATAGAAACTAATGTACCTGGCCTGTACTGCCACAGTTTGCTCACCCAACATCCAACTTATCAAAAGAAATGGAAGGATTCCTTACCTGCCGAGAGATGGAACTGTTTGGAGTATCTGGCACTGCAGAAATAAGGTTGGCAGTGCTCTTTCTGTGAACACTATTCATACCAGGCAATTTAGTGATTTTACAGGCTTTGTTACTAGAACTAGAGTTTTTACGTTTTTTCCCTTCTGATTTGTCAAAACAAAGGGGCAGAGAAGACACTGCGTTGTGTGCTGCCAGGGAGTGGTCCCCAGAATGATGAACGAGGGAAGGTATAGACAAACCAGAGGAGTCAATACTGCTAACTACAATGCTCATATGTTTCACCGAGTCTGTTGAGCTACTTGATAATGCAGTTCGTCCTGAGGACTCCAGTTTGGCACTGAGTGGGGTTGTTCCATTGTTTGTGCTGTGCACAGACATACTGTTATAAGAAGACGTAGCCTGATAGGAGTTTAAGGTTGAACTAGGGTTCAAGACACAGTTCTTTTTGTGGGACCCTGAAAACGAAGACGAGGAATTCTGCAAGGATAATGTAGAGGAGGAGGAGGAAGGCGGCCTTTTCTTTTTGTTACTTGAAGACTCATCACCACGGCATGACAGATCTCTGACTTTTAAGGATTTGCTGGTTTTCGTTTTGGATGACTTGTGGGATGAGGAAGGTACGACCGCTGGCACTGGTGACACGACTGATGGAGTCTTAAATGTTGAGTCCATGATACTCAGACTGGCAGCTACGTGGGGGAAGGTGGTGGCATGTGATGTAACAGAATTTGTATCAGACATCGTCACAAAAGCTGCATTGGGTACCATGGCTGAAGTCATTATGTAGGAAGAAGGGATTCTCGAGCTCACTGGGGCTGAAGGAATATACACGGCACTGGGATTGCTGAAAGGCTGCAAAACTGATGCTGAAAAAGGGGTTGTGATATGTGCTGCTGGAGACGGCATAGGACTATCGACCGCAGGAGGGATTTTCCTGAATTGTGGAAGAAAAAAAGGACACACATATTGAGGTTCAGAGATGTTTTGTTACCACATCACACACATTTCTTCTGCCAAATGTTATGCAGGAAAGAATAACTCTTCTAGGAGGCCTGAGCAATAAAATAAAAACCCACAAAAAAATAAACCTCTCAATTCCCATGTGGATGGGAAGTCCAGTCCGTGACATTTAAGAAGTTCTGGCTTTGCTCCTAGAGTCCCACAAATGCAACAGCAAATACTGAAACCTGCGCAAATTCTACTTTCTATCTAGGTTCTGGATAGTATGTGACCACAGCCAAGAGGAGTTAAAATGAAACCAGTATGCTTCTAAACTCAGGCGATCAGAGTGATAAATACAGAGCTATGCAACTAATATCCCAATCCTAGACACAATCCAGTCAGGTGGGAAGCACTACCCTCTGCACTGAAAAGGCCCAAGGAACATAATTTTCCTGTCATCCTCCACAACATGTGTACACAAGCACCCATAGGGAGCATAGCTCTGTTCGCAAGTTAGGTGAATGCAGGGGTCTTTTCATAGAAAAAGAGCTGCAGGAGGTCATTAGCATATGGTATGCTAATGAGCTACTAGGCGACTAGCATATGCCATGCCCCCTGACATCACCGGAAGTGATGTCAGAAGGGGGGGGAGGCATCTTCAAAAGCCTCCCCTTCCCTTCCCCAGCTGGCCTGCGGGGGGGGGGGGCAAAGAGAGAAGGGGTTTAAAGTTTAAACCCCTTCTCACTAGAGTTGGCCCACAGAAGGAGGAAAGAGGGAAGAAAAGAGAGAGAGTAAAGAGAAGGAAAGAAGGAAGGAAAGAGGGAAAGATAAGGAAAGAAGGAAGGAAAGAGGGGATAAAAAGAGGGAAGGAAAGTGTCAGCTATGCTGCCAATATTGTTTATGGGCCCGGGTTCGCTTTCATGACCTGTGTGCCAGTTGCTGCCGCATTCCTTTCTTTTCGCTTCTACCCCCTCGTTATCACTGAACTTGTAGCCTGCCTGTGTAGTGTCTTCCCATCAATTAACCGTGTGACTAGTTTCGTTTCCCAGCCTCGGCTCTAACAGCCCTGGTCCTTCTTCCCGCCCGCGGGAGTCAGGCCAATTGGCCCATAGGTGGGGGGGAGACATTTGAATACCCTATATCTCTCTCTGCTTTCTATGTAGTAGTTATTCCTAACAGTGACTGTGTCGATGCTACCATAGTGCTAGCAATAACTCTGTTGTTTGACTGTGGGTCCTGACAGAAAGAGGGAAAGAAAGAGAAGGAAAGAAGGAGGGAAAGAAAGAGAGAGAAAGGAAGGAGGGAATGCCATCAAGCCCCCGCCACTCCCACCCCCATGGATCCCTTACTTACCGCTTCAGTGGGGGGCAGGGAAGCCAGCGGTGGGGCTCTCCGGCGTCCCCTGAGCCGCAGCACTTTTGTGTGGGCCCAGGGGAGCTGGCGGTGGGGCTGTCCAGACCTCCCCCAAGCCACAGCGCTTCTGTGCGGACCCGGGGGAGGGGCTCTCCGGCCTCCCCCAAGCTGCAGCGCTTCTGCGCGAGCCTGGGGGAGCCAGCGGTGGGGCTCTTCAGCCTCCCCTGAGCTGCAGCGCTTCTGCGTGGGCCCGGGGGAGCCAGCGGCAGGGCTGTCCGGGCCTCCCCCAAGCCGCAGTGCTTTTGGCGCAGGGAGCTGGGGTTGGGGCTTGCTGCCGCCACCATTTGCCCGGACTCCTGGGCTGCCAGAGCAGTGCTCCGGCACACTCCGGCCCAAAAAGACCCCTGGGTGAATGCATGTACAATCTGTGGACAGTGCAAGCTTGATTTTTCTTTATTGTGTAATTCTCATGTTATATTCAATGCATATATAGAGGAATGCATGATTTAAACCCCACATTTATTTGTGTATGGGTCCCCACTTTCATTTGAAGTGACCGTGTGTTGGCTGTTTCTTACTGACAGATATACACATGAACAGACAGGATGTACAAGTAATCTCTGTAATGTGTGAACAAGACTAATGTGTAGGGGCACTACAGGGAATGAGAAGTCAATGGACACGTCCCATACCACTTCCATTCCTCGGTTTCTCTACACCATGTTTTAGTTGTGCTTCAGGCCCCATCTGCCCTCAACTGGACTTTACCCAAAATTTTGTTTCTAAAGAGACCCAAAGTCTCTTGTCTTTACTTATCAGGGAACCCTTTGATCTATTTCCTTAGTCTTGCTGCATTTTCCCCATCTCTATAATACTTTTTGAAGAAGGGGCAAGCAACACTTTACATGGCAGCTGTCCCACAGAATGATATGATGCTGCTGATTGTATTATTTTTTTAATCCATTTTCTTCATAGTCCTCAGCACAGAATCAACCTTTTTCACTGCCATCAATGAGTTGATCTTTCCACTGAAGTACATATGACAACACCTGAGTAGACACAGCTTCCATTTCTAAGCTACAGCTAAAGGTGGGTAAATGTCCTAGAATTTGATATTCTGCTTTTCCTGGGGGTAGAGGGATATGGTGGGGAAGGAAGCCAAACCACATAGCTGACCACAACTTTGCTTCACAACAAAATTACGATAATTATTCCACCAGTGTGTTGCTTCTGAGTTGTTGGCACTAACATATTAACATTATGCTATTAGAGCACATTTTCTTTTCCTCAATTTCATCAACATTGTTCAGAATGGGTAAAAAGTTAGAAATGTAGGAAAGAGATCCAGAAAGCATAAATTGTTCACTTACTTCCACATCTGTGAATTCAAGTGTTTTTCTACCATAGAATTTAGCGCAAGTCGAAAACGATCCCATCTTCTATCAAATACGTAGTACCCTCTTCCCATCAGATGACTTCCAAATGAACAAAACTAAATAGTTTAAGAAAAAGGTCAAATTCTTTCAATCTGTAGAATCTAAATAACATCCTTGATTAACACATTATAGGAATTTGGAATTGCTAAAATAATTCAGCAATATACCTAAACTAGCTGAAAAGAATTAAACCAGTTAAAACCTTGGGTCGCACCCTATACCTGAGTAATTGGTTTCATTCTTGAAGCAATTTTATCAATGGCTGCTGCCACACAGAGATTTTTCTCTACATAGACTACAGGACCCCTCATTATTGGAGAACATCCAAACAACATTGTGCTTATTCCAAGCATGACATTCCAGAGGCCTTCCCTTGTAATCTGGAAAAATGCCAGCATCCAGGTGGGACCTGGGGAACCCTCAGAATTATAGCTCATCCCCAGACTACAGAGCTCAGTTCCTCTGGAGGAAATGGATGGTTTGAAGAGTGGACTCTATGGTGTTATATCCCACAGAGGTCCCAGTTCTCCCCAGGCTTCATGCCCAAATCTTCCAGAGTTTCCCAAACTGGATTTGGCAACTCTACCCGCTCCCATCGCCTGCTGCAAGGGGTACCTGGCAACCTTAAGAAAAACATAATCAATTTGTCTCTGCTTCTTATTTCCTGTTTTTTACATTGCAGCTCCTTTTGGCCAGTCTCTATTATTTTCTGCTTCAGAGGAGAGTAAGAAAGCCTTCCTTTGATTGGCTGAGGGCTCCTTTCCCCCTCCTCCTCTGGGGAGGGAGGGGGAGGGAAAGAACGGGGGGGGGGAGGGGAATTATGCCTGTTGACACTTATAAGAAGACCAGCAACGTTTTATTCCAGGTATAAGCTTTTGTGTGCAAGCAGTTTTTCTTCAGCGAGAGGGAGGGAGGGAGGGCGGGAGG